GTAGGCGTTACTGTTACAAATTCTCCCGGGTTCTTTCTTTGCGTTCAAAAAGTTTATTGACTTAATGATTGGAGTCTACCATGAATAACAAAGCAATTAGAATATTGATTTCTACTCACTGGTCTTGGTGAGTCGACCAGAATGAAACCAAAGGGAATACGCGTCAATGACAGGACCTTAATTTTCCTCTGAAAAGTAGAAGAGAGGGAAAAGTTGGGCGAATTACTACTGCGCAAACGATGCTTCCAAACAATTATTTGCGTGACTTAACTTTTCGCGTGACTCCCGAAGAACTCTTATAAAAAGAAGAAAATCACTCACGCGATTCATGCAAACCTCTCCCAGTGTAAATTTAAAGTATTTAGCATCAGCTATACTTGTTAGATATGTACCCAACGCTATCAGTCAAAAACAGCCAATGCGACAGTTTATAAACTTACTGTGTTCAGTTTCTCAGATGAAAATGAAAACAAAAGTGAGACAATAGGAGGTCCAATATTAAGTCAAAACAAATTGAAAATAATATATGTTTCAAAAGACAATCCAATAAAAACATTGGGAAGTAAACTACATTTTTTTCTACTTCCAGTCTCTGTTAAATACTGACGGCTTGAAGTCCAATAGTTTTCAAAGCACACTTGGGTGACCATAGCTTGTAACCAGTGAAATGGTTATCAAGATAGACAAAGTTCTTTGTCTGGTTTTCGTTCTCTGGCTTAGCCATGCATAAAACACAATAGCTGTTAACGTATTGTGTTTTATGTTTCTCATAGATTAACCAACAGAAACGTTTTGGTTATGCAATTAACGCACTGTGTATGATCGCAAAACGAAAGATTAATCACAGTCCTGGATCTTCCAATATAAATCTTGGCATCTTTGTTCGCTTTTTCGAAGTGTCTTGGGTTAATAAAAAGCCACTCCGGTCTACTATGAAATTCTCTGTCGGCTGAGATAATAGAATTTACATTCCAAACCTTCCTGTCATAGACAGACTAAATTACTCTGAAGAGAAATAAGACAACCAATGATAGCTACTTTTGCCATCGTTCTGTTGTAAAATGTGGAAGGCGGCCGTGGATTCACATTTCGTTAGTTTTCACTTTATGATGAACTTTGTGCGATTTGGTCGATTTAAACTCTCGTTTTCCCATGCTAACGTACACAAGATCTGACAGAGCCAAAAACTTTGCAATATAAAAGCAAACTATGGAGCTTGCAATTTTTCATCACTTCAAAATTATCTGAATTTCGGAAATTATTTGCTTTGGAAAGTGAAACTACGAAAACCGCTTGAGGGGTTTTAGATATTTTAAGGAGACACTGATTATCATAATGCGTCAAGCATGGAAGATGTATTTTGAAGATTCTGGAGTGTCAAAACATAAGCCTGGCGGGATGCGAGAATACGCGATACGGGTAAAAAATATCTTAGGCTGTGCAAAATGTGCTCATTTCAACCAGGAAATGCGGAATAAATGTGATATCTACGGGCGGGATGCGAGATAAAGAAAACAAAAACAAAAACCAACCCGCGATGAGAGAAAGACCCGCGAAAGACCCGCGATGAGATGAGCAAGAGGATTTAAAACAACTTCCCAATCGCCCTCACAACAGCGTTATTAACCACAACTGGTTTTGACTTAATGATAATCTTTGTAGAAATTGTTACCTACGAATTTCTGACTGCCGCATGTCAAGTGTTTTCAAGCACTGTCGCCCTGAGTAGAGATTTTCATAGATGAGACACGGAACATGAGTCTTTTAAAACGGCTTCCCAATCGCGCGCCCAGCTATTGGTTTTAGTAACACCAGCATTATTAACTACCACTAGTTTTCATTTGTTTTTAACCACATGACGTCAGAGTGAAAAGCAGCTAGTGATTACAATTACAAATTTTCCCAGGTTCTTTCTTTACGCTCAAAAAGGAGAACGACTGGTAGTGATTTCAGTCTACTACGGGCAAAGTTATTACAATTTTGATTTACACATATACTCACTGGTTTTGGTGAGTCCGCCAGAATGAAACCAAAATGAATGCGCGTCAATAACAGGACCTTTTCTTCTGAAAAGTAGAAGAGAAACGCGAAAAGTGAAAAGCGCGAAAAGTGAAAGCGTGAAAAGTTGATCATAAAATGGATGTCCAATATTAAAGAAGTACACGTTAAACCAAGGCTGCATGTCTCTGTCAACGTGTTATTTGGAGTATGGCCGCCATGTTGCGCAACTCCGTCGTCGCCGCTGCCGTCGTGCGTGCGCGCCCCCGAGCAATACCGCTAGCCATGATAACCATGAGAAAATCAACTCATGAGTTTCTTTTTCTTTCCTATATGAGTATGGGGCTCCGCTTGGCGGCGCTTCGGGCCGCCGGAGCTCCGTTATTACCGCGTCTTTCTGAAAACCGAGGCTTGGGTTATGAGATTTAATCTCACGCGACCTAGCGCTTTCAAACCCAGTCTCACTCAGTCAATTTGGTCTCAAATGATAGTCTTACCTGCAATGTTTGCGCTGTAATAGCCACCATCAATAAATGTTTTCGCAAGTGCCTCCATAGTCGTAGGCTTTTGGACATGATCCGGGCACTTTTCGCACAAAATAAGCGGAGCCCAGTAAGTCAGAACAGTCTTGTACCAATCGCTGTTATTTGGTAGTATATAATGTCCGGGAAGATCGTTGTTGCCAAAAGCAGGAAAAACCGGAATTTCCGGAAATACTTCATGGGCTTTGCTGCTGACAAAGGACAAGCTGTTTAGAACATTGTGTGAACCAAAATCGTCTGTCAGACCGTGGCCAGCTGAGTCTCCTATAATAGGAACAAAAAAGAAGACCACGGTATGATAATAATTCAACTCCCTATGGGCTTCTGAACAATATTGCAGATTCATACCTAGTGTATAAACGTGAATTTCTCAGCTAGCGCTCAGGCTGTATATTAGTAAGTTTCCATTTTCTTGGCACCGAAGGGAAAACGTGATATAATACTTTTAGGGTTATTCAAGTTTTTTTTTTTATGTTACTGGGCAATTTAAATGCGTTTTTGTCCTCCAAAATATTTAGAAATACTGACAAGCTCTCCTCTGATAACAAATTGAGACAATCTTCCTTTAAGCTATAACGCCGTGCGTCAGTGACCAAAAAAGGCTAACAATGATGATTAGTAAATAAGAAATCTGACAACGAGTTGACGTCAGCCCCATTTCACAATGGAAACTATAATGATAATAATAATAATGATAATGATAATAATAATGATGATGATAATAATAATGATAATGATAATAATAATGATAATGATAATGATAATGATAATGATAATAAGACACTTCAGATGAGTTTTAATGCAAGCATTTCAAGTAAAAACAATTGTTACTGCTTTTCTTATATTTTTGGCCTATTTAGTCTTTATTCTTTTGTTATTGCTATTTTTTCCTCAGTTTTTTCATCATCATTGTCATCATCATTTATTTGCCACGTACGTAAATAATGACAAAAGATATTGACAGTACTCAAAAGGCGGCGAGGAGACCTCCAAAAGAAACCACCGGGGTATAACGGAGGCCACCTCAGAAGTTAATATATTGATAATTTTAAGTTCTGCGGGCGCGGCATGACCAATTTACTATTTCTAAATAAAAATGTGATCAACTTTTTAGACTTGGCTAGTTGCGTGAAAACGTTACTTAGCTGTAATTTCAAGTATTTCTCATCAAACATGTTTGTTAATATTGTACCGCTATTTGATCAGTGTAGAATTATGCTTGTGCAATCTGTTGTTGTTATTAATTGCTTTTATTTTATAGTTCATTTTCCCCACGAAATTTGAAAAGTTATTTCACCTGAGAGTCGTCTATAGATGTTAATCATTGGCAACTATTGAGTCGTGTTTAATGAAGGCTGTTGCAATATAAAATAGTTGTATATTGCGAGCTTGATTTGTCTCAAACATTAATCCCTTCTGACGGTTTCAATGTTGAGACGAAGAGATTTCCCAAAATTCTAAGTTTATATCGTAGTTAGCCAAGATGAGGCCGCTTTTAAATTATTCCAACTTAAAACAGGCAGTTTAAATCACAAAAAAAAAAAGAATACAAAATGTTTCCTCCGAGTATAAAATTACAAATTATTTAAAGAAATAATTTGGCCTGATCGGCATTAACAAAACAATCTAATTGTACACCTGCCAACATTATAAACTTGGCGTCACGTGCTTTCTCCTTCATGCCATCTAAAGTAATTAACCAGAGAGCTGCTGGGGAATCACATCCAATTCTCCCATAAGGTGCTTCATAATCCGCGGTAGAACTGGCTCCTGAGCTGTCGCACCAGTTGCTTTCGTCCACGGATTTATTGTAAAATGGAGTGTAATGGACGTCGGATACGTGAAGGAACTTCAATTTGTCTCTTCGACCTATGTTAAACGGGCGACCCTTAGGCCTTCGACAATCAGTTGGCAGAGCGAAGGCAAGGATAATTACGAACAATACCGCAAATGAATGGCCCATATACATTGTGGATTCTTGACCTCGCTATCAAAAAAAGAGAGAAAGAAGTGTCAAGGCTGTTGTGGGTCTTAAGAGTGATTTTCTGAGAGTGTCGAGAATCGGAAGACAGTCACGAAAAATCGATTTTTCTTTTATTTCGCCAAAACATACCTTAACATTAACTTATTCATGGAAAAATAGTTTAAAGTTCCAACGATTTATTCTACGGCCAAAATTTAAGAAAGTTTGAAATTTGCATATAATGGCGGTTTTCGCAGATTAAAATGTTCAGAATTTCACGCTTCTTTACGAAAACAGCGGGGGCGTAAAAACAATCCTATGAAAACAAAACTTGGCAC